AAAGTATCAAAATTGTGCAGTTGTTAAAATTAAAGGATAAAAAAAGTACAAAAAATAGTTTAAGGACCAAAAAAGTACAAAAAATAGTTTAAAGACCAAAAAAGTATAACTTAATAAAGTTGAAGGATAAGAAAGTGCAATTTAATGAAGTTAAGGGACAAAAAAGGAAATTTAATGAAGTTAAGGGACAAAAAGTGAAATTTAATGAAGTTGAGGGACAAAAATTAGAACTTAATCAATTTTTTTCAAGTGGCGGGTGTGAAGTGTGACGGAACATTAACGGAATAATAGGAGATTTGACGGAAGTTAGTTTTCCGTTCAATTGGGACCTTATTTGAGAATTTCGTGGAGTTCGGGACCTTCATTGAGTGCAATCGAGGTTTGGGTCCGAAATTGCGAATTTGGTGTAAGTTCGGGTCCTTATGTCATATTGTTGCCCAATTTAAATCCACGTATTTGCCAATATGTAATGTAAGAGTGGAAGAATTTCAAAGTAGGAACTAATTTTTAGACAATTTAAATCCATTTATTTGCCAACATGTAATGTAAGAGTGGAAGAATTTCAAAGTAGGAACTAATTTCTAAACAATTTAAATCCATGAATGAGATATATAAATTTCAAATTAGAAAAGTAGTATGGAAAGATCCACATTTTAATAAATAGATAAAAATTTCTTTCTTAAATTCTCTGCAATTACTTATGGTTTCTCAATCACACTTTTATGGAAAAAAATTCTTGCAACCGAAGGTTTTGGGCTAATTGGCAAGCTCATCACAATCAATTCAATTGCTTCCTCACTATTACTTCATAAATTAGTTTTGCTTTTAACTTTACTTGTTATGGTTTAAAACTAATAAACTATATTCACTTGAAAGGTCAACTTGTGAAGTTTAATTTTATTATTTAATCTTCCTTATTTAGATTATAGATGAATAGATCCTAAACTTTTTATTAGTTTATTTTCTTTATTATCACTATTTTAATTTTCATAGCAATATTTATGAAAATTGACCTATAATAAATATGGTGCATGTGCGTTTTACTCTTTAATATGAATCAAGAAATTTTAAAGTATGAGCCAATTTTGGACAAAATAGCAAACCATTTATGAGTTAATTTTACTCTAATAAGAGTATTAGTCAATTCAAGTAATATAATGATAAAAATAAAGTATTATCTTAAGACTAATTAAGTATCAAAATTAAGTAATTCTAATTTTATTTAAACAATTGTAATTAAATGATTTGAATAAATTAATTAAAGAAAAGAAACTAAATTGACTTTTAGTAACACCAAAAGTTAAAATTCTAACGTATTTGATTTCATCATAATCAATCAATATAGAATTTAAATTAATATACTTTAAGGTATTTATTATTCATATAAAAATTTTCTATTTTATTCAATATATTTTCTTTGTGAATTTATTTTAAATTATATCAAATTTAATTTTATCTATTAATTCACTATATCTCTATTCGAATTTAAATAAACAAAAATATATTATATTTTATAAAATTCTCTAATTTACATAAAAAAAAAAAATTAAGTTCACTTATCGCCCATGAACAAAGGAGTAGGACTGAGAAAGGAAACACAATGTTGGGCTTTTTTTTTTTT